CTTGGGTAATTTCTTCTAGTCTTTCGTCCAGCTCACAGATCTGTTCTTCTGTGTCCTCTACTCTGCTTTTGAGTCCCTCTAGTGAGTTTTTCATTTCCAGTATTATATTCTTCATTTCTGATTGGTTCTTTTTTATATCTTCCATTTCTTTGTTGACATTCTTATTGAATTCATCTATTCTTCTCCCCAGATCAGTGAGCATCCTTAACACTCTTTGTTTGTACTCTCTGTCGGGTAGGTTGCTCCTTTCTGTTTCACTTAGTTCCTTTTCTGTGGTTTTGTCCTGGTCCCTTACTTGGAATGTATTCCTTTGCCTACTCATTTTGCTTCTTTCCCTGTGCTTGTGTCTACGTATTAGGTAGGTCAGCTACGTCTCCTGCTCTTGGATAGGTGACCTTATATAAGTGATGACTTAGGAGGCCTGCAGTGTGCTTCCCTCAGCGCTCAATGTTCCAGGGGTGACCCCTATGTGGGCTACGTGTGTCCTTCTGTTGTGGCATGTTAGCTCTCCCTGTAGGTGCCCAGGGAGGTTGAGTTATGATCCTGCCCAGCTGTTGTAATGCTCATCTGCTTGTAGTTGTTGTGTGCCCTTCAATCTCTTTATCAGGTGTGGGTAGCCGCAGCACAGTTGGCTGAAATTTCTAACACCACATTTGTGTTTCAGTATTTCTTTTAAGTGAAGAGGCCCCCCGCCTGGCAGGTTGTTAGGTTCAGGGGCTTACAAATGCTATAAGCCTCCAGCCTTTAGGCCTCTTGTCAGCTCTCTGAGGATTACAGCTGGGTGGGGCTGGCCTCAGGCATGGGAGCATCCAGTTATTTCAGGCTTTGGAAGGTGGGGAAAACCCCCTTTTTGGTTCTTTGAGAAGCACAGCTCTTCTGCAGCTGACAAGCCCTGCCACCTACAGGTTCACACACACAATCAACACAATCCTACCCCATGTGTGCACCCCGACCTCCTGAAGTGGACCCAGTCTCTCCATGGCGGGAGCCCCACACACTCCACCACAGCCCCACACTCTCCACCCACTCCTTGTGCACACCCTGCCCTGCTCAAGTCGGCTCAGTTGCCAGGCTGCAGAGAATCCCGTCACCAATCTATACAGGCCCAGTAGTTGCCTGAGGGCTTGTTGTTGGGTGGGATCAATCTCTAGGGTGGGCTGTCTGCCCTGGCTGAGCTGGATTAAATCAGTGCTCTAGTGGGTGGGGCAGACCCTGGGCTAGCAGGCCCCAGGGAGAACTCCAATGGTGTCTGTATCAGCACTCCCTCACCAGGCCACAACAATGGCCACCGCCAACGTCCCAGTCCCTGGAGAGGTCTCACCTCTCACTGAGATGCACTCAGATCCTATCAGGTGAGTCTCTTTTCACCAAAGCACTGTGCACCTTACTTTCTAGTGATTTTAGGTTGCTTTCTTAAACGGGAGAGTTTGTGTGTGGGCCTTTTAAGAGCCAGTTTTAATTACTTTGTGAACCAACTTTTCTGGGGGTAGTCCCCAATGTTTTAGTAGCAGGCAAAGTCAGATATTATGCCACTTGTCTCGATTGTGCTGGGTCCACAAAAGGAGTGCTCCCAGCTCAGGGCCCCCGCTCCTCCAGGGAGGGCTGTGTACCTTTGTGCTGCTCCCAGGTGGCCATGAGGCACTGTGGCTTGTGAAGGTGGCATTTTTTCTCTCCAGAAGGGAGTTTCTGCCTCTTCCACCTCTATTAGGATTGTCCTTTGTTGCAGGAGTTCCTCTTATCCAGTTTTCAGTTCTCTCTCAGGAGTAATTTTTCCACGAGTAGTTGTAAATTGGCTGTGTCCGTGGGAGGATGTGAGTTCAGAGTCTGCTTATGCCGCCGTCTTGACTTCTCTCTCCTACAGTCTCATTTTGACAAATATGGAGGGTGACATCTGTGATTTCTGCATTTGATTAATATAATTATTCTTCCAGGTCTCAAGTGCAGTGTTTCACTTGTTAAACATTTATTCTAAATTTCAAAAGATGTAAATTTCTGTCACGTTTTCCACATATTATCTTTGTTCCTAAATAATCCATGTGGTTCACTATTTCTTAGGTTCACCATCTTAGGAAGATGGTGTTCAGATGGTGTTTGTTCTAGTTCGCCATTGCTAACACCTGTGCATCCTTTGCTCCCACCTTCCTCCTTTACTGCTCATTATGCTTCTTGGGCTTCTGTATCATGACTGTTATTACAAACTCTTTCACTATTAGTAAGTTAGTATTTTGAGCTTTTATTGTCTTGGTGCCTTTAATTGATCTTGAAATTGCCATTTGTCTGAAATTATTAATATTATCTATGTTTTCTTCCAATGTCAGAGTGGACAGAGCTCCAATCAATAGCTATGATAACAGGGATAATAATAACTTTCTGCAGTATTGGACAGATACTCCTGGGAGGACTGGCTTTTTCCATTTGTGACTGGTGCACACTGCAACTGACAATGTCTATACCCTTATTCATCTTCTCCTTGTTCTCCAGGTATGGAGAATCTCCAGATTATTTGCCTATAAAGGAGACTGTGGTGAGAAGAGAGAGTATAATCCTGATACTTGGGAACTGTTTGTTCCCTGGCCTGGTCCTGAGCCACATTCTTCATTAGTGCCCACTGTGACACTTGAGGGGAAAAAAAGAAAAGAAGGAATAGAATGACATGCTACTTAGGAGGATGGCATTTTTTAGTCATAGTTACATAGTAGACAGAGAATTATCATGAAATTATTTTTCTTAAAATAAAATAACATACTCAGTAATTTTGAGTAATATTTGAGTAATTTTAACTTCAGAAAGCATTGTGTGATCAAAATGATTTGAAGGCTTTTCATCATTTTAAGTAATATTGGATAAAAGTAAAAGCCAGCAAATTTACCTCAATAAATGTCTGAAATTAGAAGAGCATTCTAGCACTAAGAATTGTCATGGAGGTGATTCCTGCAAAAATGACAGAATAAAGACCTCCAAAAATAAGTTGCTCCATAATAGCAAAAGAAAACAAAAACTGGCATAGATTGTCAGAATAAACTTTTTCAGAACTCTGAAAATGAACTAAAGCTTGCAGCAATTCAAGAAATATTTTGTTCAAGAAAAATGGAAAAATTCTAGTAAGAATAGTGAGTGTTAAGGTGTTTTAACATATCCTAGTCCCATTTCCTACTCCCTAGCTTTGCTGCAGCCTTGAAAAATGATGACTTACATTCTTAGCAAAAGAGGGAGAACAAAGCTTGAGTTATTTCAAAGCTTCATTCACAAACAACTGTCACTATTTGACCTGCCTGGTGGTTTGCCTGAGATCCTATTTGGAAAGCAGTCTGTATTTGATCAACAGAAAAGGCCTCTCCCCTGGGGGCAATTGCTGCAAATATTTACTGGCAAGTGTTTTGAGGTCACTGGATGGCTGAGTTGATGGATAACAATTAGGGAAACAATAGGCAAACGAAGAAAGCTAAAATGAGAAGATGAGGAACAAAATATCTATAGTGGCTTTAGAAAACTCCAAACTATTCTTTGGAGTCTAGAAGGTCATGTTCATGTGTAGGTGTGGGTGCCTACTCATGAAAATCTAGGGAATGCCCTAAGCTCTCTCCTCTGCATGACCTGGAGGCTCTGTACAAGCATTAAGTGAAGGCAAAGTCAGAGATCAGACTATCTGGCTGAGTGTTGGAGGCATGTCCAACACACATTCAGAGCCTCTCAGGAAAATCTGAGACATTTATTGGTTGCAGATCACTAATTCATTAGCTGACCACTAAGCTAGCCAAGTACCGAGTTCAGCGGCCACACGTGGAAAAGGATACAGATTTTACAAAATTTGTTCACACAACATCACTAAACAAACTACAAAAAGCAGCAGCAACCAGAGCGAACACTGGGAAAGGGGGAAAAATCTGATTTCCAGAGTTGCCATATTATATTATTGAAAAGATGTAGTTTTCAACAAAAGTTCTGAGCCATGCAAAGAAACAAGAAACTATGACTCCTATACAGGAAAAGAAAGCAACCAATATAAACTGTACCTGAGGAAACCCAGACATTGGCTTATTAGACAAAGGCTTAAATATATTATATTAAATACTCTCAGGACTAAAAATAAAATATCCACAAACATTAAAGAACTAAAGGAAAGTATGAGAAAGATGTCTCACCAAATAGAGAATATGAGTGAAGACGGAAATATTAAGAGAATGAAATAGAAATTCTTGAGTTGAAATGTACAATAATCGAAGTAAACAATTTATTAGAGGACCTCAACAGCAGATTTGAGCTGTCAGAAAATAAGCAATGATTTTAAAGAGATGTCAGTTGAGATTTTCCAGTTTATGGAACTAAAGAAAAGAATTAAGAAAATGGAACAGAACCTCAGACACCTGTGGGACTCCATCAAGTGTACTGACATATGCATAATGAAAGTCCTAGAAGGGCAGAGCAGAGAAAAAGGTGGAAGATATATTTGAAGAAATAATGACTGAGTGATTTCAATAAGATGGAGGAATAGGAAGACACACTTATGCATGAGAGAAAAACACGTAAGAATGGGGAAAGACCCATCCTAGATGATTAGAGGTAAAACTCCCTGAATTTCACACCAGGGTGGCAATAGTGCTTATTTCCATCATCTAGAGTAGAAAACTCCAGAATTCACATGAAGTTTTTGGTAGAATTCTCAGAATTTGATTCCATAGCAGAAAAAATTAACCCTAGGCTAAATACTGCTCTTGTGTAACCTAGAGATCCTTAAATGGAAGACATAAAAAGATCAGTATTTCCAAGTAAATTGAGCATAGAGCTCGATAGTACTTTTAGGCATACAAAAATATCAAGCACCCAACAAGGTAAGAGTCACAATGCTTGGCTTCCAATCAAAAATTACCAGGCAAGCAAAGAAATAGGAAAATAGGATCCATGTGTAGGGGAGAAAGATAATTCTTCTACTCTCCAGGTCCTTCTGGCTGGTGTAAGAATTAAATTGACATGAGACAGAATAACAGGAAAAAATCAAACAAAGCTTTATAACATGTATACATGGGAGAAACCCAGGAAAACTGAATAACTCACCAGAATGGCCAAGGTCACCACTTTAAATACCATTTTCAGCTAAAGACAAAGGAGGATGTTGGGGGTAGTGGTCTGGGGTTTCAAAGGGGAGGAAGGCAATTTACATGGAGATGGGAATGTAAATGTTTGTTAAACAAGTGTTTGCTGAGCTCTCTGTAGACAATGATATCTTCCAGTATTAGCTGCTTCCTGGAACAGGCTTTCTACCTTAAATCCCTTTAGGCAGTTATGGGGAAGGTCAAAGTTTCTTTGAGAGTCTTTTGTTCTTAAAAATAATCAAGCCAGCAGTGTATGAGAGTTCCCTTTTCTCCACATCCTCAGCCATTTGTGAAAACATGGATGGACACTGAGGGTATAATGCAAAGTGAAATAAGTCAGAGGGAGAAGGTCAAATACCGTATGATTTCCTTCATTAAGTAGTAGATAATAACAACAATA